CCTATTATTCTTGCGCGCGAACGCTTAAATACTAGATCACTGAATCAACATTCAACGGTGTTAATATCTTACTTCAACCAATTCACAAAATTGAGCAACATATCCACTATTGTCATCAATGAGTTACTATCTCACAGCAGACTCATTTGAACTCCACTATTCATTGTTTCTCACTAGAACTTCAAGAAATATCTCTTGAAGCCAGTCATTAATACGCATATGTTGATTAATATCAGAAGAGTCTAGAAGTTAAGCGCTTCCTAGCGAGATTGTTAGTTCCTGGATTCAAATTTTTTTGAGTCAGGATCATGGATATACACTACTGAGGAATCTCACAATAGTACGAAACAATCATCAAACAGTACTTCCAAGTTTTTCATAATAGTCTATGTTTAATTGACTCATAATCTTAACTATTAAAATTATCAGATGAGTTCTGTGAATGTTATAATAATTTCAATGGTTAAGATCATGAGTTAGTTAAAGTTAGACAACCATGGAAAATATAAAAGCAATGAATGACTGTTTCGTCCTATTGTGGGATTCTTCAACGGTGTCCTGTCTCATGATCTTAACCATTGAAATTATTAAAATTATATTGATTTATTTATTTGTAAATCTGAATCAAAATTAAAATATATAAAAAAAAGAGAATCCAGGTTTATTATTTTGTGTGTGTGTGTTACTTACTTACTTACGCCTGTTACTCCTCGTGAAGGAGCATAGGCCGCTCACCAGCATTCTCCATCCAACCCTGTCCTGGGCAATCCTTTCTAGCTCCGTCCAGTTGTAATTCATCGTTTTCATATATGCTTCTATTATCCGACGCAATGTGTTCTTTGGCCTTCCTCTTTTTCGCTTCCCTTCAGGATTCCAAGTTAGGGCTTGCCTCGTGATGCCGTTTGACGATTTGCGTAATGTATGTCCTATCCATTTCCATAGTCTTTTCCTAATTTCTTCTTCAGCTGGAAGTTGGTTTGTTCTCTCCCACAGAAGGCTGTTGCTGATAGTATCCGGCCAATGGATGTTGAGTATCTTGCGTAGACAACCATTTATAAATACTTGTACTTTCTTGATTGTGGTTGTTGTAGTTCTCCAAGTTTCAGCTCCATACAGTAGAACTGCCTTGACGTTCGTATTGAAGATTCTCACTTTGATATTGGTTGATAGACAGTTGTTTTGAGTTCCATATGTTCCTCAATTGTAGGAATGCAACCCTTGCTTTGCCGATCCTCGCCTTTACGTCTGCATCGGATCCTCCTTGTTCATCGATGATACTTCCCAGGTATGTGAAGGACTCGACATCTTCCAGAGTTTCGCCATCAAGTGTGATTGGATTGCTGTTCTCCGCTTTGAATTTGAGGACCTTGGTTTTCCCCTTGTTTATGTTGAGGCCTACTGATGCAGAGACTGCTGCTACACTGGCTGTCTTCATCTGCATCTGTTCGTGTGTACGCGATAGGAGGGCTAGGTCATCTGCGAAGTCCAGATCGTCTAATTGGTTCTGAGCTGTCCATTGTATGCCGTGTTTTCCTTCAGATGTCGAGGTCTTCATAATCCAGTCGACCACCAGAAGAAAGAGGAAGGGAGAGAGTAAACAGCCTTGTCTGACTCCGGTCCTTACTTGGAATGCATCTGTCAGCTGTCCTCTATGCACTACTTTGCACTGTAGGTGTGTGTGTATGTGTGCATATAAATGTGGCACGAAAAAAAATAAAGAAAAAAATAAAGAAAAAAATGAAGAAAAAGCAATTTTCCTCTCAAATATGTTTTTTTCTCCTTTTTTTCTTTATAAAATTAATTAAAAGTTTCCCCTTGACTAATTTTTATTGATTTTTTAAAACAATGAAATTGTTTCATATCGGTGTTTTATGCCTTTTTTTTAATAAAAAAAACTTATATAATACAGTTTTCTTTCTTTTTTTTTCTTTTTTTTTAAATGTTTTAAACACTTAAATGAAATTATACATCAACCTAGTAACAAATCATTTTTATTTTTGTTTCTTGGGGGAGCGATGACAAGAGAAAGGGGTGAGGGTTGGGAGTGGGGGGGGGGGTGGGAGATGGAGTGAGAGGGGGGGGCTAAGAAGAAAACGAATACATTTCAATGTTTCAATTAATATACACTTATATTATTGACCATTATAAATAGTTATAAATAAATGGTGTTATTTTACAACTCTAAGGTTAATTAAATCTGTGTACAGAAGAAATAAAATTTATCAGCATCAAGTGTGCAATTTATGTAATTTATTTTGTTGATTTGAACTGTTGAAAGAATGTTGACAATTCGCTTGTTTGTGAATGAGTTTTATAAGAATGTGAGGAGAGTTTGCTCTCCCTTTCGACATGTAATCAGATGAAAACGCGTATACAGTCACTGACTGAGACGTCCTACTCACTAATTTCTCGCGGCTAGAATGTTCTTTACGAAACTGAGAGGACAAAAAGTGAATTTCCGACGCTTTAATCGAGCTAATGACGACGGAGAGTCTACCTGGGAGAATCAGAAAACCCTGATTTTAAACAAATGGTTCATATGGGCTTCATAATCCTAAGGGAACAAATGAACCAATTGTTGATTCTCGGCTACCATGATACTGCTTCTACTAATTTTGCTTAACTGCTTTGAGGATTAGATCTCTTGGTGAAAGGCTCGTGGAATGGCCATCTAAGGAAATCAATTGCTTCAGTTTAAGCGACCAGACAGTATCTCAGTCCTTACATAAATCGAATGATTTATGTGGCGCATAAGTATTCCGTGCCTCCTTTGTATCAGTATTTATGTGGTTAAATACATATTAAATAAATAACTGACATTGTATGATATCACTCATTAAAATCTTATACCTTTATTCATCACAGAAAGATTTGAAGAATTAAAAGTCAGCTGGTTCCCTTCAGATTATATATTTGGTAACTAATGATAATATAGCATGGTTCCTATCGATGAACAATGTAGTCACATCAATTTGACCACAGTCATGTCATAAATTATAGATGGAACTTCACGTATTAAATGTTCTTTTATGCAAAATAAAACATGAGTTAGTGTATAAGTTGGAAGCTTAAGTGAAATCTTCGGTAAGAAATCCTACCTAATGAAATAATACACTTGGAAACAATTATTATTCAGAGAGACCTTTTTTGGATATTATAATAATCTTAATAGTTGAATTCATGAGTCAATTCAAGCTAGAACACTATGAAAAACGTGAAAGCACTAGACAGCGTAACGTTGTGGATTGATTGAAGTTAGACATTAATACCGTTGAGTGCCGAATCAGTCAGTGGTCTAGAAGTTAAGCGTTCATGTGCGAGACCGATAGGTTCTGGCTTCGAATCTCGCGAGGCGGGGTCATGGATGCACACTATTGAAAAGTCCGTCTAGTGCTCACAGATTTTCTATCGTGACTCATGAGTTCAACTATTATTCAGCAGATCAACTGTAATGATACTTTCAATTTTACTATTTATCATATGAACTGACAATTAAATAAAAAACTGTTCTATTGAAAACATAAGATTCGCGATTCTGCTAAATAATAATCTAACTTCATTATAATTATCCATTGTTATTTCATTCAGATTCACTTGGTGTTGTTTTACTTGTATCTTCCCATTGTTATTTAGGACCGCAATTGATCAGTCACATATTGGCATATATGTATCATGTGAGGATTGCTTCGATATTGCCTAAAGTCACACGTTTTTTAAGCAAAGATGAATAATAGCTATCAGTGGAATCCAGGATACACGTTTCTTTCTAGTTGGGACTCGTCAATTGGATGTACCTGTATCTCAGAGTTGATGTTCACTTCGGAACTCGAACCCAGTGCCGCTCATTTCAAGCGTCCTGGATTCTACTGCTAGCTACTATCCATCTTTGCTTGAAACGTTATTTCATTCAGTTACTTTTAATCCTAATAACCTTCCTGAGATTTTTGTATTAACCAATGTATTTAAATGAGCTTACACTTTATTAAACATAAGGCTTGACCATCTACCTTTTCAGTTGGTTAACTTGTTATTATTCTAGATTATTTATTCAATAGTAAAATCAATTATTCTATCAGTCAAATGTATAGAATGTTATATATCTGTTTCCAATATTGAACATGTGTGTGATATCAAACTTTTCCTGTTTATTTGGTGTGTATATGTTTGATAAATAGAAGAATGTAGTTTTTACTATGGAGTTCATTTCAAGAAATAAATTTCACTGGTGAGACTATAGTTTATGGACGACATTTGAGTAACGCTAAAGTGACCTTGAAGGTGTCCATCTAATAACTAGGACCAAATGAGGGTTATGAACCAGTGTGAGGAATTCAAATTACGATATACAATGGATGATTAAGGTTAGATATTAAATTTAGGGTTTTTATCATGAATCGATATCTATTTAGTTAAATGATTGAATGAATTTCGAGCCTAAATGCGAGACCTATTATCTTAAATCTGATTGATTCACCCATAGATTATAATCAACCAAGATCAAAGTCAAAATTTTCAATATAAATGTCAAGACAATTCTACAGTATTGGGCGGAAACTCGGAGAACTACGATAGCCATCATCAAGAAGATACAAGTGTTTATTCACAGTTGTCTACACAAAATACTTCGGATCCGTTGATCAGACAATAACAGCAACAAGATTCCAGTGGAAGAAGAAATCAGGAAGAAACGCTGGAAATAGGTAGGACACACATTGATGAAAGCACTCGACTGCGTTACAAGGCAATCCCTCACATGGGATTCTCAATGTCAAAGGAGAAGAGGAAGATCAAAGAACACATTACGCCGGAAAATGAAGATAGACATGAGAAAAATGAACAAGAATTGGATGGAATTAGAAAAGAAGGCCCAGGACAGAGTGGGTTGGAGAATGCTGGTCGGCGGTCTATGCTCCATTAGGAGTAACAGACGTAAGTCACTAAGTAATGATTATTAACATCCAATAAAAGTTAAAATAGAAATAGACATAGAAATAATTTACCTTTTCAATGTTGTAGATAATGGATGAGCCATATGTTTAATTTGTTCTGGTGTTAAATATGTATCATTTAATAGATTGATTATATCAATTTTACCATATTTTTCAATTAAATAAGCATAAATATCACTTCCATTGACTAATGAAAATAAAGCGGATAATCTAAGGGAATACCAACAAAAGAAAGAAAGAAAAACAAATCAATAATGGTATCTTAATTATAATCAAAGGGTGGGTTTTGTGGAGATTGTAGTAAGTTTAATAGTTGAGATCATGAGTCAATCGAAGTTAGACCGTGATGGAGAACCAGCCGTTTGATCCTAGTATAGGACTTCTCAACAGTACGCATCCACAATCCTGCTTCGCGAGATTCGAACCCAGGACCTATCTTAATTAATAACCATTCAATGGATTAAAAAGCAAACGGTAAATCAATCATAATTGTGTTCTCTTTCAACCATGGTTCATTTATTTGATATCGATTAATAATAGAAGCAAACTGATCAGAAGAAAAAAGGGGTCAGTCTTGAAAAAAAAACATTTGGTTTGTGAAATAATACATGCTTCTGTATGGTATTATAAAAGGAACATCATTATGATAAAATTATCAAACTTTATTGGGATAACTCCAAAAACGCTGTCATCAGTTCTATTTTACTTGGAATTCAACTCAAGGACAATCACTATTTGACATCAGGATGGATTGCTTCCTCTTATTCAAATGGATTGATTGTGAAGCTTTCATTGACATCTGAAGTGGATGCTGATGATGCTGTTGTAGAACAATAATAGTTTACTTACTTACTCACGCCTGCTACCCCCATTGGAGCATATGAAGCCAACCAGCATTCTCCAACCCACTCTGCCCTGGGCCTTCCTTTCTAGTTCTATCCAATTGTTGTTCATTCTTCTCATGTCTGTCTCCAATTCTGGGCTAAATGTATTCTTTGGTCTTCTTCTTCATCTGTGAAGACTAATTCGTCCAGCTGCATCCTAGATGACCACTGTAACCCATGCTTCGCCCCCCCCCAGATGTTGACGTCTTCATGATCCAGTGGGTCACCAGGAGAACGAGAAAGGGTGAGATTAGGATTTCTTATTAATTATTGATTTTGTTTTTGTATCCCCGATAATAACAATCTACTTCATTAAAACTACATTCGGATTTGTTGAAGCTAATAGTTATTTGAAAAATAATGATTTACATTAGATAGATTGATAACAAACAGTTATGAGAAATTATCATTACATATCTTGAGAAGATCTTGAATCGATTGATTTTAGACCGAACATTGAAAACCTGGAAGTATTGTACGGCCTTTTCGTCCTATTGTGCGAATCCTCAGCGATGAGCATCCACAATCTCGCTCGTGGGATTCGAACTCATGTGCTAACTGATGAATAGCTTCGTGAGAGAATTCTTGGAGTTATAGTGAGAAGCAGTGACTAGTGGAGCTAATCCGTGTCGGGTGGAGATAGATATCTACCTCAGTACAATAGAAGATGGTCGCGCAATTTCGTGTATTGGTTGAAGTTAGACATTGACAGTGTTAGATGCCGGCTCAGTGATCTAGTGATTAAGCGCTCACGCGCGAGACTGATAGGTTCCAGGTTCAAATCTCGCGAGGGGCGGTATCGTAAATACACACTGCTGAGGAGTTCTACACTAAGACAAAACGGCCTTTCAGTACTTTCAGGTTTTCCATGGTGGTCTAGCTTCAATTGATTAGTGAATTCAACTATTAAAAAGGTTAGAATTAATCTTTATTCCTATCTGCTTATAGTTTAGTTTGATTATATTTTCATTCTATTATCTTTCAATGTTTATTAAACGAACGAGTCAATTAAATTCATTTATTTAAACATTAAAACAAAAGATTTACAAATCCTTTTAAATCTTTTCCATTGTTTTATCCTGAACATATGACAATTGGATTATATATTCTTTGTTGTGTAACAACAAATACTACTCGTACTACGACTACTACTACCACTACTGCCACTATTACTACGATTACTACTACTATAAGCACTACTACTACTACGACTACGACTACTACTACTGTGGTGCGTGCTACTTATATTGATATAAGTAGTATATGACGCGAGTCGTGAATGTAATGTCTTGTAGTATGGTATTATAGTACGGTTTTTCTATTTTACCAAGCAACTCTGCAATTTTGTGCTAAATATAATTCGATTGTCCCCACCCGTGTTCTGTTCACTACATTTCGTGTCGCTGCCGATCAGGACAGCAGAAGGGTGCTGTTCTGCGGATGCCTTTGCGGGCCTGGAGTTGAGGTGATAGTTGGGGCAGTCTAGTGCAGGGAGGTATCGTCGAGCAGAGTGCTCTGGCGGTGCGGCGTTGACTGTGGCGGGTGCTGTCGACGGAGAAAAGCGGCGGGACGTGAGGCTGCTTGGCGGATATAGATGGATCAGCTAGGCCGGTGGAGCACGGGTGTTAAGCGTCCCAGGTGCAGGGTGGATTTCGCATGTTGTTGCCCCGGCAGGTCGACGAAGCTATGGAGGTCGGTGCGCTGCAGACTCGACATTTTGATGGAGAGCGTAGCACAGACTTCAGAGACGAAGAATGTGGCACGGCGAGCATGAACCACCACAAGAACGACTGCTTTAAAGGGAGGACAAGTGTGGTGCGTGCTGCTTATATTGATATAAGTAGTATATGACGCGAGTCAGGAATGTAATGTTTGGCAGCAGAAGATGTGGAAGATCAAGAAAGGAAGAGCAGGAATAGAAAGCAATTAGTATGGAAATGCATGAACAATGAAGTTCCAGACAATTATTGAACATTTTGCAAATTAGGTATTATAATATGGTTCTTTATTTTATCAAGTAACTCTGCAATTTTGTGCTAAATATAATTCGGTTGTCCCCACCCGTTTTCTATTCACTACGCTACGACTACTACTACTACTACTACGACTACTACTACAACTGCGACTACGACTACGACTACTACTACTACGACTACCACTAGTACTACCACTACTCCTAGTACAACTGTCACTACTACTAATGTCTTCCATATTTATTTTTACCCATTTCACATAAGATTTGTCTTAACTATTCTCAATAGTTATAAGTATTTTGACTACAGTTTCATTCAATCGATTTTCAATGTTTTTCAGATGTTTGTTGTTCTTTTTTTGTTTGTTTTTTTTGATTCATCTAAATATGATTAATATTACTCCTTCCTGATTCAATATAACTAGTTAAGAATATACAAATATATTTTAGATTCATATTCATAATAAGAAGTTTTTGACAGTAATTTTTATGATATAAATTGTTGTCAGTTTAGTAACTAGTGAAAAATAGAAGGAAAAAAAAATATAAAGAAAAGGTATATACAACTTCACTTGGTATTGTTTTGCTTGTATCTTCCCATTTGGGTTTAATACTGTAATTGATCATTTTGTTTATTGGCATATGTGCATACAGTAGCTAAGTGGATAACGAGATGGCGTTTGAAGCGAATGGTAATGAGTTTGAGTCCCAGAGTGAATATCAACTGTGGGATGCAGGGACATCCAGCTGACGAGTCCCAAATAGGACGAAACGCACGTCCTAGATTCCCCGTATGGTTAAGCAAAGGTGTAGTCAAAACGGTTAACAACTCCATTTTAGACGATCTAGTTCACATAGGACATACAGTCAACATGGAGCAATTTTTTGCAATCATCTATCGTGTTAACAGCAGTCTACCTTATTCCGTCAGACTGCGAATTCTACAGACAACTGAAGCATTTGCTGTTCGGATCAAAAAGCCAAAACTTTACATCCTAAAGAAATATGTTCAGCCACTCCTTTTATCCTGGCCAACTTTGGGGCCAACTAGTTAATAATCAATTTCAGAGTATGGTGACGTAATTTGATTAATGTTCATTTTATGTCCCAAACTTATCTTACTATTATTATTATCATTATACTTGATAACGTTTTTGAGGAATTCATTCAGTATCTACTATATCTGATCTAATTCATGTTATTCTACATATTACGTAATCTCTGATTTCTATTCCATTACTCTCTCTCCCATCCCATGTTGACCATATTTATTCTGATCATTTATCGCACAATTTCATTTCACTTATAAACTGATTCAAGTTAACAACTTCATATTAGTCAGCCCCAACATTAACGATTTGATTTGATAACAAACAACAAGACTGATAGGTCCTGGGTTCGAATCTCGTGAGGTGCGGGACCATCGATGCGTACTGATGAGGAGTCCCATACTAGGACGAAACGGCCGTCCAGTGCTTTTTCGTTCATACAATTGTATTGTTGTATTGTTCGGCTTGTATCTTCCCACTGACATTTAGGACTACAATTGATCAGTCTCTTATTGGCATATGTGTATCCTGTGCGGATTCTTTCGAAAATTACCAGTAAGTCATAAGCATAATAAGCAAAACATGATGGTAGTTAGTAGCAGAATGTAGGACTCGCGTTTCGTCCTATTTCAGACTGGTCAGCTGGATGTACCTACTTCCTAAAGTTGATGTTTACTCCGAAATCCAAACCCAATACCGTTCACTTCAAAAAGTTAAGTGGATAAAATGATGGTACATTCATATTCCTGTACTCTTAACTATTATCTACTATCAAATGTATACGAAATCGATTGTAATATACAATAATAAGCATAATATTGTAAAATAGAATTTGCTATAAGAATAGTTTAGAGTTTAAGAGTTCTCTGACGAAACCAAAGGTTCTAGGTTCGAGTCCCTTTGTTACGGTACTGTGAATGTGCATTGTTATCAACAATATATATTTATAATTTTTATGAAACTGATTCTCCCTAATGTACTTGATGCAAACACTACACTATGCAAAGTTACTTAGATTAGGGATCAAATTACATTTTGATCGATAGAATTTGATGAGTACTTAAAAGAACTTGATATTAATAATATTGATCGCTAAGTAATGATCAATCCGTTGTAACTAATCCACGAGAAAAAAAATAAGAGAGAAGAAAAGATGATACAATGACGAAATAGAAAGAGAAAAAGGAGAAGAACCATACAATCGTTGATTATGTAATGGATAAGAATTACTACTGAGCTACCGGGGCCCGCGACTGACCTCCTGTAGGACTGAAATGTAATCACAATTGATTGATCACTAGATGGTGATCAATGTCATGTGTGTCAAGTCCTTATTTAGTGCAGATCGAATGCTATCGACCATGTTGCAATGTGGCCACCAGTCTAGATGAGTTTATATATAGCGCACCACCCAGTGATCAATCAATTGTAGACAAGGATCATATTTGGATTCAGTTGACAGATATGACTTAATCATAACGGAAGAACTAAAACTGTATACAAATGTAATAATAATGTAGTCTTTGGTGGAGTTTTGTTCTCTGAGCTGGATGGTCAAACTTCTATCTGAAGTTTGTGCTGATGATGTCGTTCACAAGAACGATGAAAGCTCCACGACCAAACCATCCAGCTCAGAGAACAAAACTCCACCAAAATCATCCACCTCAGCTACAAATCTTCTCCACCATCTCATAATGTAGTTTATATTGAAAATATAAGGAAAAGTAAATGATTGTTGAAATAATGAGGCATAAAATACATGAAAGAGATTTTCTTATATACAAATGATATTACAGCAGTTTAGAGGTTAAGCTATCACGTACAACATCGATAGATCCTGAGTTTGAATCTTGTGGAGTGAGATCGTGGATTTGAACTACTGAGGAGTCATATATTAGGATGAGACAGTCGTTCAATGATTTCAGGTTTTCCATGGTGATTTAGATTGAATGGACATATGAATACTTAGTTTCAACCATATAACATCGTTAATATTATGTCATTCAGTGTTATAGAATATTCTTTCGTAAAGACAATGATGATTTATTGTATTATCAGCTATATTCAACAAAATCTGAAATCAAGCATCAAATGATTCATCTTCCTCTTTACTATTTGTATTCAATACCATAAATAACATTACATAACTACCAAATAACTCCACTTGGATTCTCTCTGGAGTTACTGCCGGTCCGAAGCCCAGATAAAAGAAGGAGGGTTGATCATGAGGTTACTGACCCCATCCCATAGAAAACTAACTTGCTAAAAATACAATAACCGGAAAAAAATAATTCAAACCATTTAAACTCTACTCTAAGAAGAAGAGTTATGACTTCTCATGACGAAAGACGAATTCCTTCGAAAGTCACGAGGCTAACCCTTCTTCTGACAGTCAGAGCAATTATTAATTTAGGTACATGAAATGTTAGGATAATATGGAAGACCGGGAGAGTAGGCCAAGTAAGTAACTATTAATTGACAAACTTTTTTACATATATCACATGTTTTTTTCTATTAGTTAAGATCATGAGTCAATCGAAGCTAAACCTCCATGGAAAACCTTAAAGCACTGGATGGCCGTTTTGTCCTATTCTGGAACTCTTCAGCAGTACGTATCCACGATCTCGCCTCTCAAGATTCGAACCCAGGACCTATGAGTCTCACGCGCGAGCGCTTAACCTTTAGACTCTTTTGATATTATTAAATATACACTCACTAATGACTGGCTTCAAGAGGTATTTCTTCAAGTTCTAGTGAGAAGCAGTGATCAGTGGAGTTCAACCGAGTCTGTTGTGAGATAGTAACTCATTGAAGATAATGATGGACGGAGGTGAAATTTCGTGGATAGATTGAACTTGAACATTAACACCGTTGTATGTCAGCTCAATGGTCTATAGGTTAAACATCCACGTGTGAGACCGATAGGTTATGAGTTCGAATATCATGAGTCGGGATTGTGGATGCGCATTGGTGAGGTGTCTCACAATAGGCCATCAAACGGCCATCAAACAATGTTTCCAGGTTTTTCATAATGATCTAGCTTCAATTGTCTCATGATCTTAACTATAAAAATTACTATGAATATCTACAAAAACCCTTTTGCTGAAATATACCACATGTGTTTAAATGGAATTGAAAGAAGAAAACTAAACAGAATATTTAACTGTAATAAAATTTCAAATTACCTCATTGGATTAATATTGCATAATCTAATTATCACATTTGGTTCCATTAATGTTGTATTATCACTATGTATTATATCATCCTGATACTGTTGGTGCTGTTGCTGATGCTGGTGCTGCTGCTCATGATGACGATGATAATGATAATGATCTTCATTATTCCTATTGTGTTTATTTAAATAGGAATTTTGTAAATAGTCAATGAATCCATTCATATGATGATCATCATCAATGAATAAATGATAAGCTTTTAACCATTCGAATGTACGATATAATAATAAAGTTAAACATAAGATAAATGATATGAAATGAAATAACCTGAAATAGAAAATAGAAAATCAAGATATATATATATATCTTGTATTCATATGACAAGTAAGCATAATTCTATTGTATAGAGTAAGACTTGGAATCCTGAATTGAAGTGGAAAAGAGGAAGGCCAAAGAACACATTACGTCGTGAAATCGAAGCAGATATGAAAAGGATGAATAATGATTGGAAGGAGCTGGAAAGTATTGCCAAGGACAGGGTTGAATAGAGAATGCTGGTGAGTGACCTATGCTCTTTCACGAGGAGTAACAGGCGAAGTAAGTAAGTAAGTAAGTAATTAAGTAAGTAAGTAAGTAAGTAAGTAAGTAAGTAAGTAAGTAAGAGTTGAAATTTCAAGAACTACTAAAAATTGAGAGGATGAAAAGTGAATGTTTAGCGCTTTAACTGAGTTGGTGGATAAAGAGGATCTACACTTAGGGGAGTTGGAAAAGCTTCATTTCAAACCAATTGTGTAAATGTGTTTCAGGATCCTGAAGGAATAAATGGAGTATGAACCAATTATTAGTGAGATGATAGCAACCGATGGCTAGAGACCTTAAATGATATGGCTGAAAATCGTTTGTAATGGAGCAGGTGAATCCACTATTTGTGTTCTCCCGAATTCTAATCTTCTGGATTTGTCATGTCCCTTCCTTTTTTTCCTCTTTCCAAATTTATTTCACTGAATTATACTCCTTGAATAACACCTTCAAACCCTTATGTTTTCGATTACTGCTTATACTCTTACTACCTCTACCACTACGGGATTTGAATGGACAACTGCATCTCTGTGATAATGTGGTTTGGCAACTCGAACTGATGTACGTACGAAGTTCTACGTTGTTACTGACTGGCAATTATTGGTGACCGGCTTGTTATAATTTGTAGTTTGAATGCTTATTGTCTTGGCTCCTTTAATGTTACTTTTGTGTCTGGTCGTCGTTGATTGGTTGTATCGGAAACGCTTACCACTTATACTCGTAACGAGGGTCCTCTGTAATTCCTACGACGCGAAAGTAAGAACACAAGATTGGTATAAGTGAGGATTTATTAGCCCTAAAACACTATGACAACGACGAATCGAAATCTAGTCTAAAATACACTCATTTATATATTGATTGTACACCCATTTTGATTAATAATAAGGATTAAATCACATACTCAGTTATAACAAATCGCTTACTGAGCATAATTCATATCAATGGAATACAAGAATATCTCGTTTATTATACAGAAGAAAATATTATACTGGGAAAACAAAGCAAATACTACACTGAATGATCCTCACGTTCAATCAAAACGGATGTTGAATGTTGAATCAAACTCATAATGAGTAATTCGATCGAAAATTGACTTTCCTTTCCATCATATCACGGCTACCATAGGATTGCGTCTCCTCATGTTGTTCCACTGCCTTGTGGATCAGACCTTTAGGTCGGAGGTTTCGAGCGGGGTCCTCTAAGGGAACCACCTGTTTCAGTCTGGGAACCCAGGTAGTATCACAGTCCACACACAAATCAAGTGACTTGTGTGGTGCATATGTATTCGGTTCCCCTTTATAACAGCTTACTGTTTGAGAGAGAAAACAAGCTTCCAATTGAAGAGGATTTTAGGAAATCGGTATTAGAGATGGATAAGACGTATATTGTGGATATCATCAAACTGCAACACTAGGCAAGCTCCTACTTGGAAACCCGGAAGGGAAACGGAAAAGAGGAAAACCAAAGAACGCATTGCGTCGTGAACTAGAAGCAAACATGAAAGGAATGAATAACAACTGGAAAGAACTGGAAAGGACTGGTCCATGACTGAGTTAGATGGCGAGTGCTGATGAGCAGCCTACACGTAAGTAAGATCAAGTTACTTTTCAAAGAAACACAGTATACCAGAATACCATTGAAAACTAGATAGCACTGGACAACTATTCTGTCATAGTATGATACTCCTAAACAGTGTCTCTTCAAAACCTCGACAATGACCAAGCGTAGAAGAATTCCTAGTGAAGACCAACTATTGGTTAAAATTGGATTAATTAGATATGTTTGGTAACAAATTGTTTATTCTGGTCGGTGTTTTTATTTCTATGTGATGAGTTTTTCAACCCCATGCCTAACTCTCCTCCTTTACCCGGGTTTGTGACTGGCAGTAGCCCTTAAACAGTAACAGGCGAAGTTAGATGGAGAATGATGGTAAGCGGCCTACGCTCTTCTATCAGAAGTAGCAGGCATAAGTAAGTTTGATAACAAAACAGTAGTAGCCAAATTTTGTGACATATTTGAATGTCTACATTTGACGCTAGAAGTTATGGTATCATACACGTAAGATAAATGTCTAAGCATTGACTATAGAATTCTGATTAAATAGTTTGCTGAAAACTTATCAAAACTCTTCCCATTGATATCTTCATTCATGTAACCACTAAGTGTACATTCATTTGATATTGTTCATTTGAATCTTCCCATTGATGTTTAGGACTGCAATGGATCAGTCTCTTATTACCATATGTGCTTGGTATACGGATTACTGTGATATTACCTTAAGTCACAAGTATTCTAAGCAAAGATGGATAGTGGCTAGCAGTGGAATGTAAGACGCACATTTCGTCCTATTTGGAACTCGTCATCTAGATGTTGAATGTATCATGCATCTGTAAAGTACTTTCTTCAAGAACTATGTCTATATTATCGAAAAACAATGAAATTGTCGAAACAGACTCAACAAAACTGTAGACAATGGTAAGGCTATAAATTTGTTCAGGTGGGATGACAATCAATTAAACTATGATAGGACTAGTGTTGACAATTACTAGTCATATTAATTGTTCACAAAGCAACTATATGACATATATATGCAAAAATTCTAATATTAATCACACTTCTATCTGAAGTTTATCCTGTCAGTGTTGCTTAGAAACCAACGAATATTTCATGATTACGTAATCCGTGTTGGACAATACAATTTCAACAAAAATTATTCTTGTTTTTTTTTGATTGAGATCATAAACCGATTGATATTAGATCACTAATTGAATACCTAGAAGCATTGGACAGTCATTTCATCCTACTGTGGAACTCTACAACAGTGAGCATCCTGCTCACAGGATTCAATGATGATCTCAGTCAGTCAGTCAGTCAGTAACAACGTAGAACTTCGTACGTACGTACATCAGTTCGAGTCGCCACACCACATTAGCACAGAGATGCACTTGTCGATTCAAATCCCCTAGTGGTAGAGGTAATAAGAGTATAAGCAGTAATCGGGAAGATTAGGGTTTGGAGATGTTATTTAAAGAGTATAATCCAGTGAAAGAAATTTGGAAAGAGGAAAAAAGGGACATGAAGAATTCAGAAGATTAGAGTTTGGGAGAACACAGAGAGTGGATGCACCTGCGCCATTGCAAACGATTTTGAGCCATGTCATTCAGGGTCTCTAACCATCGGTTGCTATCATGTCGCGGTCCCCAACCAGGTAGTCTACACCTACCAACATGACCCAGTTCACTTGTCAGTGACTTCATGGACTTGTGCCATGTTTTGGTTTGGCCGCCCCTAGCTTTCTTCCAACCTACTCCTATACCACTGAACATAGCACGTCGAGGCAGTCGGTCGTTGGGCATACGTAACACGTGTCCCAGCCATCTTAACTGATGAAGTTTCACTACGTCAATCGGTTCATGATCTCAATCAAACAAACGAACAATTTAATAATCTCCCCTATCCTCAATATATGATCGAACATCTAAGTTACTAAAACAAAATGTGAAATCATTTCATTGATTTAAGAAAGCACAAAAAAATAACACTCAACTTACCATTTCTTTGTTTTACCATAGCAACAAAAAGTTTTTTTCATTTTTCTCTTCTTTTAAATGAATCTAGTTGTACACTTAAATGGATAAGTAGACATTTCGGTGCTAAATTTAAGTCAACTCAATTACATCATTCATCTATTAGGATAAGATTTCATACATATAAATTATTATATTGAATATGATTTCATGTTGACGATTGAATTTGTTGCTAAGTGGTTCAAATCTCTCTAGAATTTTAGACAGTAGTATCTAACTATATATACAACTGTCTACATATATATACAGAGATACATAAATAGTTATGATAAATAAATAAACCAATCAGAATAGTGTAATATAATCCCAATAAATAGAACAAAGTTACTTGTTGCTTTGATGACTTTCAGTCTGTCTTTTTTTTCTTTCATATTGTCTTATTCTGTCTTGTTGAGTTGTCGTCTCCTTTTGTTTTGCTTTGTTTTGTTTTGGAGTTCATCATCGTCGAAGATAACCATCAACATCTTCATCATCATCATCGTCATCATCATTCTGGATTAAATGCTTGATTGTGATAGTGTATTAAAACATTCCAAATGTTTATTTCATTTCATCAATGAAGAATTGATTAGAAGGGGGAAAAATATCAACAAAAAGAAAACGTGAATGAATGAAACAACTCGTTGGAAAGAAGGAAAATAAAGAATGAAGGTTTGAAGACTGAAAAGAGTAATCTTGAAGTATGGTAAACAAATAAGAAAGGTTTTCTATGGTGATCTAGCTTCAATGGATTCATGATCTTAACTACTGAAGTTACTATAATATCCACAAAAACCCCTTCTGATTATAATCATCACGCGCTCATTGGTGACTGTCTTCAAGAGGTATTTCTTGGAGTTCTAGTGAAAAACTGTGACTAGTGGAGTTCAGTCGAATCTGTTGTGAGATAGTAACTCATAGATGACAATGGTGGATGTGTGACTCAATTTCGTGGATTAGTTGAAGTTAGACATTAACACCGGCTCAGTAGTCTAGTGGTTAAGCGTTCGCGTATAAGACCAACAGGTTGTGGGTTCGAAAATCACGAGGCGGGATTATGAATGTGCATTGCTGAGAAGTTCCATAATAGTAGAAAACGGCCGTTTACTGCTTCCAGGTTTTCCATGGTGCTCTATCTTCAACTGACTTATGATCTCAACTATGGGAAATAAGAAAGTGGATAAATAATTTATTAGGCAAGCATAAAGACCAGAAATGGAGTGAATGAATAGAATTTGAAAATTATATTTCAGACTAGAAACAAGAAATGGTTAGTACTAGCCGCTATTCTCATACACAAATACAAGTACGATACACGACGTTTGATTTAGATGTACACACCTCCTACACGCTTACTCAATCAACTACATTAGTGAGAATATTAGGAAAGGTTTAGAAAGCTGTAAATGAAGAACCAAATGAATAAGAACACAAATTATTGATACATATACACATGTTCATCTTATCTAGACAAAAATGTATAGGCTTAAACCTTGATTTAAAGCATAATTGGGTCTCTACAGTAGTGACTCGTTTGTAATCTTTCACTAACTGTTAGACTTCAAATGTCTTATGAGCAAAGTAACGTGATTTACGCGACTCATTCAGATAGTCATATACATACTTTCATATACTGAAAAATAAAGAGGATACTGTAATTGAATATTTTTCCCGTCAGTTAGGTAATTTATAGTCCAAAATTTGTATGTGTATTAACATCTTTTAATGAACTGTGATTGGCTGGTGAACTATTGAAATCTAAAGAATTTTGAGCAGTTGTTTTGTTATGATGTTACTTGCTTACATACGCCTGTTACTCATAGGCAGCCCAACAGCATTCTCTATTCAAACCTGTCCTGGACAGTCCTTTCCAGTTGTTATTCATCCTTTTCAGATCTGATTCCATTTCCCGATGTGATGCATTCTTTGGCCTTCCTCTTTTCCGTTTCAACTCAGGATTCCAAGTTAGGGCTTGCCTGTTGATGCAGTTCGATGATTTGTGTAATGTCTGTTCTATCCATCTCCATCATTTTTTCATAATTTCCTCTTCAGCTGGGAGCTGGTTTGTTCTCTCCCAGAGAAGGCTGTTGCTAATAGTATCCGGTCAAAGGATGTTGAGTATCTTGCGTAGACAACTATTTATAAATACTTGTATATTCTTGATGATGGTTGTTGTAGTTCTCCACGTTTCAGCTCCATGCAGCAGAACTGTCTTGACGTTTGTATTGAAGACTCCCACTTTGATATTGGTTGATAGACAGTTGTTTTGAGTTCCATATGTTCTTCAATTGTAGGAATGCGACCAGTGCTTTGCGAATCCTCGCCTTCACGTCTGCATCTGATTTTTCTTGTTCATCGATGATACCTCCCAGGTATGTGAAGGATTCTATATCTTCCAGAGTTTTCCCATCAAGAATTATTGTGTTGGTGTTGTTTGTGTTGTATTTGAGGACCTTGGTTTTCCCCTTGTGTATGTTGAGGCCTACTGATACAGAGACTGCTGGTACACCATACTACGTTGAAAGCACCGGTTCTCATCTAATCACCGCATTTTGTTAAGTTGTGAAACTCTTTAAAAATGTGTGCCTACAAACTCGCCAAGAATCAGATTCGGGATGGTTAGGTCGTGCAGTGGAATTCACAAAGGTTCATATTTCTAATTTCAGTCAGTTTGTGGTTCACTGTATCGCCGATGAAGGCTGTCTCACATTCGACATGGTCGAATCGTACAGTTAATTCTATTAGAACTGTAAAAACTAATCACAAAGTAAAATAACCAGATGATTTAAGCGCTTTATCGAGAATTGGTCGAAGTTAGGAATGTAAACTGTCGAAATTTGAATCCGAGGTAAATCAATAAAAACTATGAATATTACTCATACACATTGGCCAGACACTATCAGCAGTAAACTCCTGTGACAAAAGCAAATCATCTTTCAATTGTAAAGAAAATCAGTAGAAGATTCTGAAAGTGAATAGAGCACAATTTACGGAAATTATCAAGCTAAATAACAAACCAAACTCTAATTTAGGTTCCTCAAGAGAAGAAGGCAGGCCAAAAAAACAATACATTGGAAGTTGAAGGCAGACAGTGAAGGAATTATATAGAATATGAAAATAAATGGAAAGGAGTGATCATGACAGACTAGATTGAAGACTATCTCTTTTCAGCCTATACCCTAAGAGGAGTAATGGGTTTAAGTAAGCAAGCAAGCAAGCAAGCAAGCAAGTAAGTAAGTAAGTAAGTAAGTAAGTAAGTAAGTAAGTAAGTAAGTAAGTAAGTAAGTAAGTAAGTAAGTAAGTAAGTAAGTAAGTAAGTAAGTAAGTAAGTAAGTAAGTAAGTAAGTCAGTAAGTAAGTAAGTAAGTAAGTAAGTAAGTAAGTAAGTAAGTAAGTAAGTAAGTAAGTAAGTAAGTAAGTAAGTAAGTAAGTAAGTAAGTAAGTAAGTAAGTAAGTAAGTAAGTAAGTAAGTAAGTAAGTAAGTAAGTAAGTAAGTAAGTAAGTAAGTAAGTAAGTAAGTAAGTAAGTAAGTAAGTAAGTAAGTAAGTAAGTAAGTAAGTAAGTAAGTAAGTAAGTAAGTAAGTAAGTAAGTAAGTAAGTAAGTAAGTAAGTAAGTAAGTAAGTAAGTAAGTAAGTAAGTAAGTAAGTAAGTAAGTAAGTAAGTAAGTAAGTAAGTAAGTAAGTAAGTAAGTAAGTAAGTAAGTAAGTAAGTAAGTAAGTAAGTAAGTAAGTAAGTAAGTAAGTAAGTAAGTAAGTAAGTAAGTAAGTAAGTAAGTAAGTAAGTAAGTAAGTAAGTAAGTAAGTAAGTAAGTAAGTAAGTAAGTAAGTAAGTAAGTAAGTAAGTAAGTAAGTAAGTAAGTAAGTAAGTAAGTAAGTAAGTAAGTAAGTAAGTAAGTAAGTAAGTAAGTAAGTAAGTAAGTAAGTAAGTAAGTAAGTAAGTAAGTAAGTAAGTAAGTAAGTAAGTAAGTAAGTAAGTAAGTAAGTAAGTAAGTAAGTAAGTAAGTAAGTAAGTAAGTAAGTAAGTAAGTAAGTAAGTAAGTAAGTAAGTAAGTAAGTAAGTAAGTAAGTAAGTAAGTAAGTAAGTAAGTAAGTAAGTAAGTAAGTAAGTAAGTAAGTAAGTAAGTAAGTAAGTAAGTAAGTAAGTAAGTAAGTAAGTAAGTAAGTAAGTAAGTAAGTAAGTAAGTAAGTAAGTAAGTAAGTAAGTAAGTAAGTAAGTAAGTAAGTAAGTAAGTAAGTAAGTAAGTAAGTAAGTAAGTAAGTAAGTAAGTAAGTAAGTAAGTAAGTAAGTAAGTAAGTAAGTAAGTAAGTAAGTAAGTAAGTAAGTAAGTAAGTAAGTAAGTAAGTAAGTAAGTAAGTAAGTAAGTAAGTAAGTAAGTAAGTAAGTAAGTAAGTAAGTAAGTAAGTAAGTAAGTAAGTAAGTAAGTAAGTAAGTAAGTAAGTAAGTAAGTAAGTAAGTAAGTAAGTAAGTAAGTAAGTAAGTAAGTAAGTAAGTAAGTAAGTAAGTAAGTAAGTAAGTAAGTAAGTAAGTAAGTAAGTAAGTAAGTAAGTAAGTAAGTAAGTAAGTAAGTAAGTAAGTAAGTAAGTAAGTAAGTAAGTAAGTAAGTAAGTAAGTAAGTAAGTAAGTAAGTAAGTAAGTAAGTAAGTAAGTAAGTCAGTAAGTAAGTCAGTAAGTAAGTAAGTAAGTAAGTAAGTAAGTAAGTAAGTAAGTAAGTAAGTAAGTAAGTAAGTAAGTAAGTAAGTAAGTAAGTAAGTAAGTAAGTAAGTAAGTAAGTAAGTGCTTATGCACAAATTAGAACCCAATTAATAGTGAAATTGGTAGGCTGTATTTTAACTGTCATTTGTGTTGTGGAATTGTACATGTTCATGTAGCAAATACATATCTTGAAAGCGTCTAACAAGATAGGATATAATACATCAGACTAAACCAATAAACATTAAATATATTCATTACTCGTTTTTTTTCTTCATTTATGATCATATTACTGAGATTCAGTAGATAATAAAGTTGAATGAACACTATGAGGTTT